GTATTCAAGGTGTGGGCATATCCTGGATTTAAAACACTTTACCAACACTTATCCTACTTTACAGATAGGGAGCATGGGTAGTTTAAGGGTACGTCTACACTGCAATCACAGGATGCAATCACAGTCAACATACTCAAGAAAGCTTTAATCTAGCTATCTTGGGAGCCAGAACAGTAAAGCCATGCCAGTACAAGCTTCAGTGCAGGCTGTAAAAATCCTCCCAGAACCCTCGGTTATTTCTCGCTGGGCTAGCCCACACAGAAGCTCACGCTACCAGAGCTGCACTGTTGCACTGCCCATCTAGCTTAATTAAAGGTAGCTCAAGTGTCTTGGCTCAAACGGCAATCACAGAAGTGACTGCAGTCTAGATATACCCTAGGTGGCTCTTCAAAGGTCAGATAGTGAGTCTACCATAGATCTAGGAACAGAATCCAGTGCTATCCTTTGTATCTAGATAAATAATAGAGAAACTGATTTTCTGGAAGGCCATGGGGTGGGGGAAATAAAATCTTTGCTCTACTGTCAGGTTTTACAAGTCATCTGAAATCTCTTTTCGTATTTGAGATCTTAGTGATTAACTTAAAGATTTTTCTTACTGCATGCCAAGTAGATCCAGCCGTCAGTTCAGATTTTTCGAGCAGAATGACATCCTTCATGCCAGCCTTGGCCAGGTGGTAAGCAAGACTTACACCAATGCAACCACCTCCAATAATCACTGTCTCTGCTGTATCTTTCCATTTAGTTCCCAAGAAAGAAGATGGCTTTTCTTCCCTGGAAAAAGAAAGTCACAAACAGGACACAAAATTGATCTTTCATCTTCTCATCTAAGCTAGTAGTTAAAAGTTACCTTTAAAAATTGACCTTTATCTAGTCTCGTCTCCTGTATCTCACATGCCATTAAATTTCACCCAGTCACCCCTGTGTTGAGCCCAGTAAATTGGTTTAGACTAAGCATTGCAGTCCTCAGGAGACTAAACAGTTGTATGACACAGGCAGAGAACAGAAGAGACTGAGGTGTTACCAATGCCCAGTGCCCTTGCAATGGCAGGTAACTGATTAGGTTCGATATGCCAGATGATACCAGCTGGTAATCCATGCTCTATGATGCAGAGAAAGGTGAAAGAACCCTAAGGTCCCTGCCAATCTGAACTGGGGGAAAAATTCTTCCTGAATCCAGATCTGGAGATCAGTAAGACCCCGAGCATTTGAGCAAGACCACCAGCTAGGCATCTAAGGCAGAGGACCCTCTATACCAGTGGTGGGCAACCTGCAGCCCGCATGCGGCCAGACTGGGTAATTTGCTGGCAGGCTGCAAGACAGTTTGTTTACAATGACCGTCCTCAGGCACGGCCGCCTGCAGCTCCCAGTGGCTGCGATTTGCCGTACCCGGCCAATGGGAGCTGTGGGAAACAGCAACCAGCAAGTCCATGCGGCCTGCGCCGCTTCCCACAGCTCCCATTGGCCTGGAACGGCAAACCGTTGCCACTGGGAGCTGCGGACAGCCGTGCCTGCGGATGGTCAATGTAAACAAACTGACTCATGGTCCACCAGTGGATTACCCTGATGGGCAGTGGGGCGACCACAGGTTGCTCACCACTGCTCTTTACCATCTCATAACACTAGATGATCTGGTGGTCCTTTCTGGCCTCACACTCTATGTCTGTATGATACTGGTTCACTCTGTCCAGTGCCCCATCTACAACAGTGGCCACCCTCTGATGTTTCAGAGGAAGGCAAAAAACAAAACAAAACAAAAAACCCAGCTTCTGGATCATTTTTGTGGCCCTCCTTTGAACTTTCTTTAGTATTTCTACATCTTTCTTGAAATGCAGACATTAATACTGGGCACAGTATTAGTAACAGCGTTACCAAAGCTGTGTACAAAAGCAAAATCACTTCCCTACTTCTACCTGATATTCACCTTTTGTAGCTCATGAAAGCTTATGCTCAAATAAATTTGTTTAGTCTCTAAGGTGCCACAAGTACTTTTCTTTTTGCAGATACAGACTAACACGGCTGCTACTCTGAAACCTGTCACCTTTTTATGTATCCTAGGATTGCATTAGACCTTTTACCACGGCTTTGAAATGAGAGCTCATGTTGAGGTGGTTACCTATGATGACCCCTAAATCCTGTTCTGAGTCATTGCTTTCCAAAACCAAGTATCCCTGTAGGTATAACCTGAATTCTTTGTTCCCAGATGTATTACCTTTAATTCAGCTTTGTTAAATCCATTTTGTTGGATTGTGACCATCTAACCAAATAATTCAAAGCACTCTGTAACAGTAGCCTGTCCTCCTTGTTATTTATTACCCCACCAATCTGCAAACTGTATCAGCAAAGATATATATATCATGGTCTACTCTAAATCATCGGTAAAAATATTCAATAATGTTGAATCAAGAATCAGTTCCTGGTGGACCCCTCTAGAAACATCTCTCCATTAACTAAACACCGGTCTCCCTCCCCAGTGGCCAGTCTCCTTAGTGGAGGGAGCCGGGTCCGCCCCGCACAGACCGGGAGGGGGTGAGAGCTGTTAGTGAGATCGTTTTTGTCCATCTAAGGTGTACCCTGATGGTTCCACTTAATGCAGTTTTAAAAATCAGAATGTCATTTGGTACTAAACCAAATGCCACAGAGAAATCCAGGTACACTAAATCAACATATTTCAGAGTAACAGCCGTGTTAGTCTGCATTCGCAAAAAGAAAAGGAGTACTTGTAGCACCTTAGAGATTAACCAATTTATTATTTATTCATCCGATGAAGTGAGCTGTAGCTCAGGAAAGCTTATGCTCAAATAAATTTGTTTAGTCTCTAAGGTGCCACAAGTACTTTTCTTTTTGCAGATACAGACTAACACGGCTGCTACTCTGAAACCTGTCACCTTTTTATGTATCCTAGGATTGCATTAGACCTTTTACCACGGCTTTGAAATGAGAGCTCATGTTGAGGTGGTTACCTATGATGACCCCTAAATCCTGTTCTGAGTCATTGCTTTCCAAAACCAAGTATCCCTGTAGGTATAACCTGAATTCTTTGTTCCCAGATGTATTACCTTTAATTCAGCTTTGTTAAATCCATTTTGTTGGATTGTGACCATCTAACCAAGTAATTCAAAGCACTCTGTAACAGTAGCCTGTCCTCCTTGTTATTTATTACCCCACCAATCTGCAAACTGTATCAGCAAAGATATATATATCATGGTCTACTCTAAATCATCGGTAAAAATATTCAATAATGTTGAATCAAGAATCAGTTCCTGGTGGACCCCTCTAGAAACATCTCTCCATTAACTAAACACCGGTCTCCCTCCCCAGTGGCCAGTCTCCTTAGTGGAGGGAGCCGGGTCCGCCCCGCACAGACCGGGAGGGGGTGAGAGCTGTTAGTGAGATCGTTTTTGTCCATCTAAGGTGTACCCTGATGGTTCCACTTAATGCAGTTTTAAAAATCAGAATGTCATTTGGTACTAAACCAAATGCCACAGAGAAATCCAGGTACACTAAATCAACATATTTCAGAGTAACAGCCGTGTTAGTCTGCATTCGCAAAAAGAAAAGGAGTACTTGTAGCACCTTAGAGATTAACCAATTTATTATTTATTCATCCGATGAAGTGAGCTGTAGCTCAGGAAAGCTTATGCTCAAATAAATTGGTTAGTCTCTAAGGTGCCACAAGTACTCCTTTTCTTTTTGTAAATCAACATAGTTGCTGTAATCTTGTTCTTTTAAAAAAGGTAGCTCTTGACAAGACCTACCTTCCATAAAAACCATGCTAAACTGGCATTAATTATATTTTTAGCCTCTAATTCTAGAGTCCCAGATTAACCAGTCCATTATTTTGCCGAGGATTGATCTCAGGCTAAAATGGTCTGTTATTCCCTTTCTAAGCATTGGAAATGCCCTAGCATTCCTTTGGAATTTCCCTAGGTTTCTAAGATTTGTTAAAAATTAAAAGTAAGTGGCTCAGAGAGCTCCTTGGTTAGCTCCTTTAAGACTCTGGGGTGTAATTATGCAGCGCTGCCAGGAATAGGTTTAATTTTAGCACTAGCTGCTAATATGGATTCCCCTCTTCACCTGTAATGAAGCCAAAACTGTCCGACGCCTTTTCACTAGTATTTTAAAGGCTTCCTCGCTGTCAAACCCCGCAGACTAGTGTGATCCGAGGGTGCCTCTTTTCTGACAATTGCAGCACTTAACTTGCCGTTCAGCTGTTAAAACCATGAAGGGAATGGCTCGGGCAGAGTTTAGGGATAGGGAAGACCTATATTCGGTCAGCTCGCCCGCCCTCGCCTCTGTCACTCGGGGTCATACAACAACTGCGGGGGGAATAGCGCCTGTGCACAGGGAAGCCCTCGCCTCGCGAAGTACTTCCATCCGCACCAACATTTTCCCTCCAGAAAAACCCGAGGAGAGCGCGCGTCGCGAACCACCCCCACCACAGGCTGTAGCCTGCAGGCAGGACTCACCGCCCCGCAGTGCAGGAGCCGCTGCTAAGGGGGCGCGCCCAGCGGGGTAAGGCGAGCTCTCGACCTCGCAGCTGGGGTGGGAGCAGCCTCCGGGCTCCTCGCAGCATGGCGCGTGTCGGACCCTCGCAGGCGCTGGGCTGGGCTGGCTCACTCGGCAGGGATGGAAACGGTCTCCCTCCCCAGTGGCCGGTCTCCTTAGTGGAGGGAGCCGGGTCCGCCCCGCAGCGAGCGGGAGGGGGTGAGAGCTGCCTTGCGGCGGGGCGGCACAGAGCTACCCCCCAGCGAAGAACGTCCCTGCTGCCTTCCCTGTCAGCGAGTGTGAAGTTACATCACGTCGGAGGGGAAAGGGGCCAAAGCGCCGCGCGCCCGGGGCTCACACGGCATTGGCAGCCCCGCGGTGGGGCTAGGGTGGGAGGGTGTTGCCTATTCCGCAATGGGTGTTGGGCGCAGCCCCGGCCACCCAGGACCCACCCCCCATTCCGCCTCTCTGCCGGGGCTATAAAGGGGCGGGCGGGACGAGGCGCCCTGAGAGTCTCGCAGCGCCGCCGGCAGTCAGTAGCTGGGTGCAAAGGCAGCGCTCCTAACGCCCCGGAAAGATGCAGGCGCCGCCTGGCGGAAAGAGCCCCCAGCACGCCAAGAACAAGGTAAAGGCCCCGGGACTCGCGTCGGCCTAGGAGCCGCTGAAAGCGCAGGAAGTCCCCAGTCTGTGCCACGTGCAGGCGCCCTGTAGGCGCTGCGGGGACTGGAGCGGTCGGCCCGGCAGCTCCCTTGGGGGTAGCAGCGTATGGCACCTCCAGCTGTCCTGTGATATGCCCCAAGGAGAAGAGGCCGCCAAAGCTCACGCTGCCGCTAAGGGTTTGAGCCCCCTCACTTGCAAAGCCTGGAGAGGCAGCAGTGTTAGAACGAACAAGATCGCTTCGCTGATCTACCATGGGCGGGCACCATCCCCTGCTCCCACTCGGGGCTGCTGCTAGTGCATGGCTGAGGGAGGGGGTGGGAAATAGAACCGTCATGCAACTGAGTGGGGCTAAATCCTGCTCTGAGAACAGCAGCACGAGTCACCGCTCTGACACCGCCACCTCCTTCCAGGCACAGACCCTTTCCTCCCGGGGTATGGGAGGAGAGCCCCAGAATTTGAGGCTGAGAAGCAGTTTCTATAGTTGGCAGGTTCAACAGGCAGTCACCTTTAGTAACAAAATTTGCAGGCCTTCTCTTTCCGAGGACTGTGTTCTTCAACTTTTTTTCATTTGGAGACCTCTAAAAAATTTCAAACGTGGGTTGCACCCCTTTGGAAATCTTAGCAATGTCTGCAGACCCCCCACTCACAGTAGCATGGGTAGGAAATTTAAAAAGCCTTAGTTTTCCATGATGATTTTGCTGGGTGAAAGCCCCACACAGAGATTGGAAAAAAACATTTTTTTAAATAAAAATGTGGGTTTTGGGGGACTGGGGTTTGGACCTCTGCAATTGGCCTCAGGAAAAACTGCCTTGAATTCATTTTTAACAGAATAATGGCTTACAAGTTCACATTAAAGAGTATGATTTGATTTAACTTTTCACATTAAAACATAGTGTCCATATTTCATATTAACATGTACATGGTAGTTTGTAGTAGCTCGTAATTAATGCATGAGGTGATACGTACATTCACTGTTTCCTCCCCTTTAAAGTTTCAGCCCGCTGCTTCTTCATTAAACTTTTGAAGTGAACTCCCCCGGTGAAAGCTTCCTTGGCAGACCATGGAAACAGAGACCCAGATTATGATCTTCTACATCAGGGGTGGGCAAAAAATGGGCCGCATCCTGCCCATCAGATCTTTTAATCCTGCCCTTGAGTTCCCGCTGGGAAGCGGAATTTGGAGCGGGGTCAGGGGCTTGCCTTGCTCCACTCCGCAAGTGCAGCAGCTCTGCATGGCTCCCGGAAGCAGGAGCAGCCAGGGGGTTCCGCATGCTGCCCCCGCCTCAAGCACCAGCTCTGCAGCTCCCATTGGCCGGGAACCATGGCCAGTGGGACCTGCAGGGGTGGTGCCTGTGGGTAGGGCAGAGCAGCATGGCCCTGCCTCCAGAGTGGGAAGAGGCCACTGTTTCCAGGAGCTGCTTCAGGTAAGTTCTGCCTGGATCCTGCACCCCTGAGCCACCTCCCCCCCCGTGCCCCAGCCCTGATTGCCCTCCAGATCTTTCATCCCAGCCCAGTGTACCCTCCTGCACGCCAAACCCCTCATCCCCAGCCCTACCCCAGAATCTGCACTCCCAGTCGGAGCCCTGCCCTTGTGCACCCCTTCCCCAGCCAAGAGCCCCCTCCATCCCAGCCCAGAGCACCCTCCTGCACCCCAAACCCCTCATCCCTAGCCCTACCTAAAGTCTGCACCTCCAGCCGGAGCCCTCATTCCCCCCTGTGTGCCCCCATGCTCCCCAATCCCCTGCCCCAGCTGGCCCTTCATACAATTTCCATACCGAGGTGTGGCCTTCAGTCCAAAAAGTTTGCCCACCCCTGTTCTACATGGCAGATTTACTCTTTGCTTGGCCAGGCCCATTCTAGGCACTCAGTTATTCATTTGCAAACAATAATCTTAACAAAGGCTCTGAACTTTCATAGTTACAACAGAAATTCACTAATGCCCATTAATGACTGGGAAACACCTTCTGAGTTGCTGAATTTTGCAAGTTGAGGCATGTTCCTGCTCACATTGAAATCAATGTCAAAACTTCCATTGCTGATTTTAGCTGGAGCAGTATCGGGCTCACAGGGCAAAAGCAAATCTCTCTTTTTTTTTTTTTTTTTAAATAGCAGGGACGCTGGATTATTCAATTTACTTTGTTCATTTATTTGGAAAATGTCATTTTAGTCTGAAATATTTATGCTAATAGTATGTAAATCAATGTTCTTACAGTATAATTTGTAGAACAAAGTTAATGTGAGAGCTTACTCAGATCTCTGTCAAAGCTGTGCTGAGAAATAATTGGTCCTCTTCTTTGTACACTCAGTTTATGAGGTGTGTGGATTAGTGAAGTGCTAATTACAGAGGTTTTACTTTACGCCTCTCAAAGAGAAAATCTATCGAAGGATGGAGACTAAAAAGTGGAAAAAGTCTTCTACCAAGGGCTTTCAAGCCACACACACCTGTACTTGCACAAAGCTTTCATTTTCCTCCTGAGCTCAGATACTACTGCATAAAACAACAAACTGTATTATGCCATCTGGAAAGGGTAGATATGGAGGGTAATGTGGCTAGCCTTAACACGCCCATGACTGTGTAGTCACTGTGAAAATGTCTGGGGACACCTGATTGGGTTTTTTTCAATAAAATACAAACAAATATGAGATCCAAAGGCAGAATCTAATATGTAGGGATATTGTGCAATTGTGGTACACTTATTAGAAGTCTTTGGGTACATAAACCAATGAGAGGAATATGAGACATCTAATATTTTCAGATACAACCAATACAACATTATCTTGCTCCAATATTGTTCATATTATAAAAAGAAAACTATACACATTTTCTTTGCACTAGCTTACAATTCAAGACAAGAGGCAGGGCAAAACATGCAAAAGCTGAATTTTTTTGTAACCTGGCATCTTTTTTAAACTTCTGGGCTATGCAAAATGGGCAAGATTCTCTTTGATTTTTACAAATGTGTGTGAACAAATCCAACCAAGTGAAAACAGCTTGCACAGAAAGCTAAAATAAGATTACATTTTAAGATGCCAGATATGTGTGTCAGTAAAATGTTACTTGCATGCATGCTTTTTTAACTGTGGCATGATACCTTCATTGTATCATTTTGTATCACAAGCGACTTGTGTTGTAGCATTTCCTAGGTGACCTTTTATCTCAGCTGAAGAGTAAATGAGTTACTAAAAAAGTCTGATGCACTAGTGTTTCTCTTCCAAAAGTTAACAAATCTTTTGGGAGCACTTAGGGCCTATAATGGGTGGGATTTTAACCATTTACTTTCACAGGAGCATGACAGGACCCTTCACTTGTGATTTTTGGGAACAGTGCATTTTTCAGTTTTTAATAAAATTGTGATAATAGTCTGGAGCCTAGGTACTATATGTATGCTTATTATAATAAAATCCTACTTTTTTTGACAACTGACTTTCTGCCATTGTTTAAGCCTGAAAGATGCTTTAAAGAAACAGAATAACATGACGCTGCTGCTGTTTGCAGTAGCCCCCAAATTATGCTTGGCTGTTCCCAAAAAACAAAGAATGACCAAGTCCCTATCTTGAAAAGTGTGTAGCCTACAAAACTACAGTCCATCAACCTTTCCTCCTTTATTATTCAGGGTATTCTAGAACGTCTAGATGCTGGAGAAATTGTGATTGGAGATGGAGGATTTGTGATAGCTCTTGAAAAGAGAGGTTATGTAAAAGCTGGACCTTGGACCCCAGAAGCTACAGTAGAACACCCAGAAGCAGGTCAGTCTTCTGCCTCAAAGCATGAGGATTGAAAATTATAGCATAACAAGTGTAATGTAGATGCTATTTATGTACACAATCTTTTCTTAAAAACTTAATAGTCCTTATAACATCCTGTGGCAGCATGTTCCACAAGCCAGTTTACAATGGGTAGAAAAGTATTTCCTTTGAGACATTTAAAATGTGGTGTCCTTAAATTGAATACAGGAAATAGGAGTGCCAGAATAGCCTTCTTTATAACATTAGTTATTTTATAGACCTATTTCCTCACTCTAATCCTTCCAGTCTTCTTTGAGTCTCTTTCTTTGTATGAAGAAAAGGGTCTGTCCTTAGAGCTAACCATTTTTTGAGCATGAGCTTCGTGAGCCACCACTCATCAGATGTTCCGTGGAAACGCAGCAGCTTTATATACACACAGAGAATATGAAACAAACCCCTCCCACCCCCTGTCCTGCTGGTAATAGCTTATCTAAAGTGATCAACAGGTGGGCCATTTCCAGCACAAATCCAGGTTTTCTCACCCTCCACCCCCCACACAAATTCCTCTCCTGCTGGTGCTAGCCCATCCAAAGTGACAACTCTTTACATAATCAAGTCGGCTATTTCCTGCATAGATCCAGGTTTTCTCACATCCCCCCCACCCCCATACACACACAAACTCCTCTCCTGCTGGTAATGCTCATCTAAACTGACCACTCTCCAAGTTTAAATCCAAGTTAACCAGAACATCGGGGGGAGGAAAAAACAGGAGGAAACAGGCTCCTTGTACAAGCCGTCAAGAACACTATCCCCGATAATGTCACGGCTAACCTGGTGGCTGAACTTTGTGACTTTGTCCTTACCCATAACTATTTCACATTTGGGGACAATGTATACCTTCAGATCAGCGCACTGCTATGGGTACCCGCATGCCCCACAGTATGCCAACATTTTTATGGCTGATTTAGAACAACCTCCTCAGCTCTCGTCCCCTAAAGCCCCTACTCTACTTGCGCTATATTGATGACTCTTCATCATCTGGACCCATGGAAAAGAAGTCCTTGAGGAATTCCACCATGATTTCAACAATTTCCATCCCACCACCAACCTCAGCCTGGTCCATCCACACAAGAGATCCACTTCCTGGACACACAGTGCTAATAAACAAGGCCACATAAACACCACCCTATACCGGAAACCTACTGACCGCTATTCCTACCTGCATGCCTCCAGCTTTCACCTGACCACACCACACGATCCTCGTCTACAGCCAAGCTCTGGATACAACCCATTTGCTCCAACCCTCAGACAGAGACAAACACCTACAAGATCTCTGTCAAGCTTTCTACAACTACAATACCCACCTGCAGAAGTAAAGAAACAGATTGATAGAGCCAGAAGAGTTCCCAGAAGTTACCTACTACAGGACAGGCCTAACAAAGAAAATAACAGAACCACTAGCGGTCACCTTCACCCCCAACTAAAACCCTCCAACGCATTATTAAGGATCTACAACCTATCCTAAAGGATGACCCAACACTCTCACAAGTCTTGGGAGACAGGCCAGTCCTTGCCTACAGACAGCCCCCAACCTGAAGCAAATACTCACCAACAACCACATACCACACAACAGAACCACTAACCCAGGAACTTATCCTTGCAACAAAGCCCGTTGCCAATTGTGCCCACATATCTATTCAGGGGACACCATCACAGGGCCTAATAACATCAGCCACACTATCAGAGGCTCGTTCACCTGCACATCCACCAATGTGATATATGCCATCATGTGCCAGCAATGCCCCTCTGCCATGTACATTGGTCAAACTGGACAGTCTCTACGTAAAAGAATAAATGGACACAAATCAGATGTCAAGAATTATAACATTCATAAACCAGTCGGAGAACACTTCAGTCTCTCTGGTCACGCAATCACAGACATGAAGGTCGCTATCTTAAAACAAAAAAACTTCAAATCCAGACTCCAGCGAGAAACTGCTGCATTGGAATTCATTTGCAAATTGGATACTATTAATTTAGGCTTAAATAGAGACTGGGAGTGGCTAAGTCATTATGCAAGGTAGCCTGTTTCCTCCTGTCCCCCCCCCCAGATGTTCTGGTTTAACTTGGATTTAAACTTGGAGAGTGGTCAGTTTAGATGAGCTATTACCAGCAGGAGAGTGAGTTTGTGTGTGTATGGGGGTGGGGGGGGATGTGAGAAAACCTGGATCTATGCAGGAAATAGCCCGACTTGATTATGTAAAGAGTTGTCACTTTGGATGGGCTAGCACCAGCAGGAGAGTGAATTTGTGTGGGGGGATGGAGGGTGAGAAAACCTGGATTTGTGCTGGAAATGGCCCACCTGTTGATCACTTTAGATAAGCTATTACCAGCAGGACAGTGGGGTGGGAGGAGGTATTGTTTCATATTCTCTGTGTGTATATAAAGTCTGCTGCAGTTTCCACGGTATACATCTGATGAAGTGAGCTGTAGCTCACGAAAGCTCATGCTCAAATAAATTGGTTAGTCTCTAAGGTGCCACAAGTACTCCTTTTCTTTTTGCGAATACAGACTAACACGGCTGTTCCTCTGAAACCTTTCTTTGTATGGAAGCCTTCTCACAATGTCTTTTAACCAGGGCTTAAAACAATCTGACACTTGCTACTAATGTGCTGATAACCTATTTCTCATGTCTATAAGATGCTTATAACATTTATTAACACTTTATATGCTATCTATAAATATATTTTCTCGATATGAAGTGTGAACATTTCCTCTTCTGTGCAGTGTGGTGCCTCCTCTGCACTGTTGACTTTTGCTCCTCCACCCTACATGGTCATGTTACACAGAAAGTAGGTGTGGAAAATGGAGGAAGCAGCTGGCTGGGCCAGTTGGTATGAGAACTGCTACAGAGCTATCAAATCCCTCCTACCTTGTAAGGAAAGCACATAAAAGATGGAGGCCCTGGACAGGGGGGAGGAAAGAAAAAAGAACTGAGGAAGAAAGTGGGAGCCTAGGAAGAGAAGGAGAAGATGAGGACTAAGAAAAGGAGAACATGGGAGGGAGGAGATAGGGAGGACAAGGTTTTATTTTATTTTATTTTTTGTAGGGGCGAGAAATGTTACCTGAGCAGAGATTAGAGAGTTCAGAAATGAGCCCTAAATGCCTAAATGAGATGTGTAAACAACTTAAAATGCTATCATGGTACTGAAACCCTTGCAAGATCTCGAATACTATTGCTTGGTCACATGTGTGAGGTCAGATTTTGTCCACCTGGTGGGTTGAAATGAAAAATTATTTGAATGAGTTCTATAATGACACACTTTAAAAATACAGCACATCTTTAGCTAATACATCTCAACTATGACTGCAAAGAACTTTTAAATTATTGTCAAAATTCCTGTAGTTGCTAGAGGCCCCAACCATGATGGGGTCTATTGTGCTAGTCACTGTACACCGAGGAAGAAACAATCTAAATAGACAAGACAGGCAAAGGAAGTAACATCCCACTTTTACAAAAAGATTAAAAAATGTACAGCGAGATTGTGACATGCCAGAAGTCACCTAGGAAGTCTGTAGCCCAGCTGGGAATTATTGGGTGAAATTTGTTGGCCTTTGTTATGCAGGAGGTCAGACTAAATGATCGTGATGGTCCTTTCTGGCCTTAAAATTGATTAATTAAACCCAGTTATTGTGAGGTTTCAGGCCAGTGCCTAAACCATAAGGCCATCCTTCCTCTCTAAATATTGACAAATTTAAGATCCTGCTTGGATCCTGGTTGTTTGGGATAGTCATCTAATTTGCATATTTATGAATTTTTTTTTTTTAGTTCACCTGCATCACCAATTCCTTGATATTTTTTTTTTTTTTTTTTTTTGTGAACTGTAGTCTGCTGGGGATGCCACAATCATAAGCAAAGAGCACTCGAAGCCTGTGGGGAGAGGTAGATAAAACAAGTCAAGCATTATTAAGGAGCTCTAAGAGAATGTGTGGTCTCTCTTATTGACCCAGACTCTTAGCAGAAGTTGGAACCCTTCAGGGAGATGCTATTTCAGCCTTGCTGACAGTCCATTGACCCATGGAGGATACAAAAGACATGGGAAAGGCTCCTGTGGTTAGCACAATCTAGGTTCTGGAGCTCATAGAATCCTAGAATATCAGGGTTGGAAGGGACCTCAGGAGGTCATCTAGTCCAACCCCCTGCTCAAAGCAGGACCGATCCCCAGTTAAATCATCCCAGCCAGGGCTTTGTCAAGCCTGACCTTAAAAACTTCTAAGGAAGGAGATTCCACCACCTCCCTAGGTAACGCATTCCAGTGTTTCACCACCCTCCTAGTGAAAAAGTTTTTCCTAATATCCAACCTAAATCTCCCCCACTGCAACTTGAGACCATTACTCCTTGTCCTGTCATCTGCTAGCACTGAGAATAGTCTAGATCCATCCTCTTTGGAACCCTCTTTCAGGTAGCTGAAAGCAGCTATCAAATCCCCCCTCATTCTTCTCTTCTGTAGACTAAACAATCCCAGTTCCCTCAGCCTCTCCTCATAAGTCATGTGTTCCAGTCCCCTAATCATTTTTGTTGCCCTCCGCTGGACGTTTTCCAATTTTTCCACATCCTTCTTGTAGTGTGAAGCCCAAAACTGGACACAGTACTCCAGCTGAGGCCTCACCAATGTCGAATAGAGGGGAATGATCACGTCCCTCGATCTGCTGGCAGTGGCCCTACTTATACATCCCAAAATGCTCAGCTGTACTAAGATAGCTGCAACTAAAGTTTCTGAGGCCAGAGAATGGTTGGCTGTATTCTTGTGATACACTTTTTTTTTTTAATAAAGTTAACACATATGTGCGCACGCTGACACACACACCCCCCTCAGAAGGGGGTGAGTCTTGAACATGTTTTGACTGTTTTAGAGTAGGGTACGATTTCCGCTGGCTCACAGGGGAACAGCACTAATTTTACCCTGTAACACAGGCACCAGCATACTATACTACAATGATGGGTATTACTGCACTAGAAGAGGGTGTGCTGTAGTGTCACACAGCAGAAACAGGATCCATAAGGAGAGCTAGCCAGAAATTGTTTAAAATTAGACAAAAATTGTGAAAATTGTAAAAAGCATTTTCAATTTTCTGACTAGCTGTATCAAAGACCCTTTATGGAAAGCGTCTGATAGAAAAACAAACTAGTGGATCATAGAAGTTTTCTGAAGTAGCCCTTTGTTTGGAAAGAATGAATGACCTATTTTTAAAATTATAATTAAAAATAAATGCTGCTCACACCAGAGTGTTTTGACTGCCTCTGCTCAAAGGATGTGAGATTGAAACTTGATACTGCTAGTTGATGCAGGATTTGAAGAACTTTTAGAACTCTGAAGCTGAGCAACAAGCTATGTTCCTGACTGGTTCTTGTGTAATAGCTGGTATAAGCAGTGTTCTGTTAGAGCAGCCTCCTGGGTTATTCCAGAGTATGAGTGCAGGATTTTGTTTTTAATAAGAGTGGTCTGGTTTTTGTGCTCAGCACTGTCCTCTACTGAGTGGAATCAAACTTGACCATGTACATAGATACTCTACTCTCCTCAGGGCAGGAGTGCTACCACTGTACAAATAATAAATAATATTAAGTTTGGATAGAAAAGGGGGAATAGCAATTGCTGACTGTAAGAGGATGGTGCTTGGCAGTACACTAACATTTTCACATAAAATATTGCTTTTGTGCTTTTTAATTTCCAAGATTGATAGTTATTCCTGTGACAGGCTGGCTTGCCTGTGTGCTGGAGAGTTTGAGGCTAAGCCAGCCCTGATTACAAGATGAGCCCCACCTGAGAGGAATCAGGTGATTCTGATATAAAAGCCAGCAGGGAGCTGGTAGAGAGAGTGGTAGAGGCTGTTTCATGCAGGAAGCCTGTTGGTAAGCTGAGAAATGCTCAGGAAACAAAAACTAGAGAAGCTATAGTTGGCTTGAAGACGCATCTGTAGGGAGCAAGACTGGTACCTACAGAGACATTGAACTTGGACCCAGCTCTGGGAAAGAGGGCTAGGAACCCCCCAACTAAGGAAAGAGACACTAAACTGGGCTTGGGACCTGGAGTGCCCGTATGTGCCTGGGGACTGAGTAAATTGGACCACAGGTGGAGAATATTCTAATTTTTCTTTAGCCTGTGTGGAGTTTAAGGAGCCCTGTGAAAGAGGGAAAAGGGGCATTCAGGCAGCAATAAGTGGCCACAGTGCTACAACTACTATTTTGTTTTTCACAGGCTAGAGCAGTTCTCTTATCTTCAGTATTGACTAATTTCCTGGGCAGTTGCTGTGTTCCCTTTCTCACACCGATCTAAGGGCTGGTCTACGCTAAAGCTGTAAGTCAATCTAAGTTACATTACTTAGGTCGACTTACAGTGGTGTCTACACAACACTGTGTTGATGGGAGACACTCTCCCGCCAACTTATCTTATGTTTCTCAAGAAGGTGGAGTACATAAGTCGATGGGAGAGCACTCTGCCATCAACTTGGTGTGTCTTCACCAGACCTACTAAATTGACACCACTGCATCAATCACAGCAGTGCTGATTTAGCCAGAAGTGTAGACATGCCCTTAGTCTGATCTCTTTCTGTACTTCCTCTTCCTTTTGCTGACATCTGCTTTCCTTTCCCATTCACTTTACTACCTTACAGCAATCCTGCTAAGTGACACTTTGTTACCCAGGATTTTCAGAACCCAAAGCAACGGTAACATAACTGTTTCTCTCCAGGTGGTGTCAGGAATAAATCAATGGGGACACAGTTCCTCTGTCTGATATGATACAAACCAGAGTGCTTTTACCTAAAAGTACTTTTTTTTTATTAGATCTTAAGCACACACAAATATTGTCACAGTAGGTTCAGAGCATCTTTAAACTTTATATTTACAAAAGTTAAGATGGCTTTGAGGAATCAACAGCTAGGCTTCTGGGGGGCCCCTCCTTCTGTTTAGCTGCTGGAGAACTTAGTTATCAGATCCTTGCCCAAAGAAAACTTCCTCAGACTGCTCCAAAGCACACTTTCTAATTAAACTTTTTATAAATTTTCTCCAGACAAAGCCTATATCTCAAAATAGTCCCTGGTAGGCTAACAATTTCCCTAGAAACAGCCAATAACAATTCATTATTCTCCTTATCAGAAAAGCATTTCTAATTAGAAAAACAATAAAACTTACATGTCAGAAGTGCCTAAAACTGAGGTTAGCTGTCCAAATATTCCTTCTGTTTTCAGGGAACCTTAACTTCCTGTCCCAAACTCCCATTCTGATGGCAAAACTGCAAACGTGCAGCTGCATGGCTTTGCCTCTCAGGGCCCTAAAACTATTTCTAGTTATGTGATGTTTGGGTTTCAGCTGCCAGTGGTTGAACATACAAAATGGCTGACTGCAGTGCTGTCAAGTGCTGGGGTACATGCAGAAATGTCAATTCGGGGGCTACAGATTGGGAGGTCTGCAGTACAGCAAAAGATAGGCAAGGTGCCAAAGATTCAGTGAGTGAGCTTACTGGCAGGGTAACTGTAGGGTAAAAGATCCTCAATGGTTGACTAGACAGATCACTGACAGTCTCAGCAGAGGCTGTTTGACTGGCTAAGGAGACTGAATTATCTGCTTTCCCCTATAAATTGTCCCTCCAGGTTTAGAGGTAAATCAACAGAGAAGGTGGCAGTGTTTGCTGCAGATGCTGTACTTGCTCCAAAACTAAGTAGATGTCTTTTTACAATACCATTAATTCAGAACCTTTCCTAAGTTAACATAACCTAACCAATAAACATGTAACTGTGCAAGCAGGTGCTAAAATGGTAGCAACCATATCAAACTTTATTTTGCCTTTTTTAATATCTTGCAGTTCGTCAACTTCATCGGGAATTCCTCAGAGCTGGATCAAATGTTTTACAGACATTCACCTTTTATGCCAGTGAAGATAAATTAGAGAATAGGGGCAACTATGTAGCTGAGAAAATATCTGTGAGTAAAACACTGGTTTTAATGGTGATCTATGGAAAATGGATACTCTTCTCTGGTTTGAACACAGGTTTCTTTTTACAGCTTGTCAGAGTTAATTTAGTGATATTCAAGGGCATGGAAATAAAAATTCAAATCAAATGGGGGGTGTGTGGCTTGTGATTTCATAGTCTGAAGTGGTAGGAAGGACCTTCGGCTTACAATGGCAAAGGGAAAAAAATCAAAACATGGGTAGTAGTGAGAAGAGGGGGAAAGAATACGGAGTCATATTTTTATTCAACTTAAAGAACTTAGTTTATCTGGAATTATCTTACATGGGGTACATTAAGGACTGAATCCACAAACAGCAAGATAAGTGGTAACAGGGGATCCTTCAGCATCTGGAGAAAGGACCCAATCCTAGAAATTTTGACGAATCCCAGAGAAAATATGTGGATAACGAATGAATGTGTGCTAAGAGCATATCCTCTACAACACAGCAATAACCAGTGGATCCAAAATATTGATTTTGGTCGTAAATCTAACCCCCTCTTTAGGTGAAGAGGGGCCCTAACAGCAGAACTACTGTGATTGTGCTGCACAGGGGAGGAGAAAGATATTGTGAGCCCCCTGGGTATAGGAGTGGGTGTGGACTCTAGCTCAGGGCTCTGCAAGAGCCCTGTATAGCAAGTCTTTTGGGAATGGAGAGTTTGCCACTGTATGGTTCCTCTCATTCTTCTCCCTGTGAAGGGGGTCACATTGCCTGCTCGAGCCTTTGGTACGTGGAAAGGATTCTATGAGGGGAACAAATTCCTCCCCTCATCCCTGTGGAGATCTCCATGCCCTGAGAAATTACTCAGGTTAGAATCATAGAATATCAGGGTTGGAAGGGACCTCAGGAGGTCATCTAGTCCAACCCCCTGCTCAAAGCAGGACCAATCCCCAACTAAATCATCCCAGCCAGGGCTTGGTCAAGCCTGACCTTAAAAATATCTAGGGAAGGAGATTCCACCACCTGCCTAGGTAACACATTCCAGTGTTTCACCACCCTCCTAGTGAAAAAGTTTTTCCTAATATCCAACCTAAACCTCCCCCACTGCAACTTGAGACCATTACTCCTTGTTCTATCATCAGCTACCACTGAGAACAGTCTAGATCCATCCTCTTTGGAACCCCCTTTCAGGTAGTTGAAAGCAGCTATCAAATCCCCCCTCATTCTTCTCTTCCGCAGACTAAACAATCCGGTTCCCTCAGCCTCTCCTCATAAGTCATGTGTTCCAGTCTCCTAATCATTTTTGTTGCCCTCCGCTGGACGTTTTCCAATTTTTCCACATCCTTCTTGTAGTGTGGGGCCCAAAACTGGACACAGTACTCCAGATGAGGCCTCACCAATGTCGAATAGAGGGGAACAATCACGTCCCTCGATCTGCTGGCAATGCCCCTACTTATACATCCCAAAATGGCCTTCTTGGCAACAAGGGCACACTGTTGACTCATATGCAGCTTCTCGTCCACTGTAACCCCTAGGTCCTTTTCTGCAGAACTGCTGCCGAGCCATTTGGTCCCTAGTCTGTAGCGGTGCGTGGGATTCTTCTGTCCTAAGTGCAGGACTTTGCACTTGTCCTTGTTGAACCTCATCAGATTTCTTTTGGCCCAATCCTCTAATTTGTCTAGGTCCCTCTGTATCCTATCCCTACCCTCCAGCGTATCTACCTCTCCTCCCAGTTTAGTGTCCTCTGCAAATTTGCTGAGGGTGCAATCCACACCATCCTCCAGATCATTTATGAAGATATTGAACAAAACCGGCCCAAGGACTGACCCTTGGGGCACTCAGCTTGATACCGGCTGCCAACTAGACATGGAGCCATTGATTACTACCTGTTGAGCCTGACAATCTAGCCAACTTTCTATCCACCTTATAGTCCATTCATCCAGCCCATACTTCTTTAACTTGCTGGCAAGAATACTGTGGGAGACCATGTCAAAAGCTTTGCTAAAGTCAAGGAACAATACGTTAACAACAGGTTAAGTGCTGGGGCAGCATTTGGGGCCTAATTAACAAATCAAGGTTATCCTAAAGCCTCTGCATGTATCAGAATGAGATACTTAGTTCTGCTCTTATACTACATCATCAGGTCTTGCCCACTTAGACTGTCATAACTTACATTCAGCCTGACTTCATACTTCCATCCAGTTAATGATAAATATGCTGAGCCTGATTCTACCCAGAAGATACAAATAATTTCCAGTGGGATGTAAAAGAGTTGCTTATATCCCAAAAGGGGGGGAGCATTGAGCCCTGAGTCATTACTCATGTTGTGGCACTGTGCATTGTTTTGACAAGAAGATCCCAATGTGGGAGTGTCTCAAAACAGATTTCAGAGTAGCAGCTTATGCTCAAATAAATTTGGTTAGTCTCTAAGGTGCAACAAGTACTCCCTCTCAAAACAGAGTGGCTATACATTACTCTATGATCAGAATGTCTTCAAATGACTTTTTCTAACATTGCTATAGACGTTTTTTCTTAAATTCTTCTGTCCCCATTAACATTGGACCCATATTTTCCTATGTTTTTATTAAGTCATTCAGATTGAAGTGATTGAGTTTGCATAAAGAGGATGAATGCTTTAGTCTATTTTTTTTTTAACTTAAATCCCTGTTTCTGTTGGTTGGACATGCTTCCATACCTATAAGGAGAACCTTGCTGTTTGTTCAATCAATCCCAGATCATGACTTTTTAAACAAATTGTTGTTTTTCTGCCCAGTTTAATCTGTTTTCACAAATTCTCTTTGCACTGCTAACTTGGGTGTATGGGGTACTTGGCTTTCAGTCTACATTGATTAATCAATCATAAGTACTGATATCTGTTTTCTTTTATACACCTATTGTGATCGACCCAGGCCAGTTGGGTACAGCAGAGTAGTTGAAGGGAGATACAATGGCCACTGGATAAGCAGTTTTCTGTTCCCTGACTGACAGGAGCAGGGGCTGCTCCAGGCTAGGGTGGACACATGACTCCAATTAGCCTGCAAAGAGTCAGGTGAGGCTGTTAAACTAATGTGAACATCTGACTGTAAGGCCCCCTCTGATACTATAAAAGGGCTCACTCCAGTCTGGCTGAGAAGAGCCAGGGAGCGGAAGCGTGGTTGAAGGGCTGGGTAAAGAAGACATCCTCAAGCCATTGGAACAGGAGCCCTAAGGTAAAGGTGAAGAAGGCATTGAGAGGGAAACAGGAGAGCTGTGGGGAAGTGGCCTAGGGAAATGTAGCAACTCTGGCAGTGGAAGATCCGCTCCCAACAGCTGTTGCTATTCGGGTCCCTGAGCCGGAACCCGGAGTAGAGGGTGGGCCCAGGTTCCTCTCAACCTGCCACTACAGAAACGCCTCCTGGGAGGGGAAGACAGGCCCCTGTTAAGACAGGAGGCTAAACTGTTCTGGAATAAGCCCATAGGGACAACAGACTGTGCAAGTTATCTCACCAACCTCCTTGCTGGCTTATGATGAAAAGGGCTTAGTAGACTGTACCTGGCCCCAGAGAGAGATGGGCTACCTAGAGGGTCACAGTGAGCCTCTGAGGCTAGCATAAACCACCTGGAAGCGCAGGACCCACAGGGACAAGGTCAGAGCTCTGCCACACCATATATTTAAATTTGTTGATTTATTATTTTTACAATGGGATAATTAATGCTACACTAGTTAAAATTTATTTTGATTCTCACAGATGTATGTACAAGATCCAGCTTAGTAATTTGAGTTTCCAAATTATAATATACCAACCACAGACAAGCAACACTTCTCAATTTATAAAAATATATATAAACATATCCATATTAGGCTCTATAGGTGGTCTTTTGAACTGTAAAAAAGAATCTGTTTAAAACCAAACAGTTGCTTATAATAAGCATTATTTTAGAAGCCGAAAATTCATAGGAGGCACTTTTATATGTGGCTATATAAAATATCTTGATGGAGGTGTTGTCTGCATACTAACTACGTTTAATTATGGCTTGACTATGAGGGATCCAAAACATCTTAGTATGATGAAAATCTCTTGGAAATATGTTGTCTTTTTATATATAGTTAACTTACCAAAAAGCCCAACCAACCTTTAAATATCCCTACTGTGATGACTGGTGAGTAACCAGTCAGGTACTCAGTACAACAGGTTAACCAACAGACTTCTTAATGATCCATTGTGAGGTGTGAGAAACCAGATAGACTTGGTACTCTTTATTCTAGGGCCCTAAGCAGCTCCTCTGTGGGGGGGCCCCAGGCCTTTGTAGGGGGGCTGGCTTGGGCGGAAGGGGGAACCACCCCCAAGCACTCGCCTGCGGTGCGGCTGCGGCCAGGTCTCTGCACTTCCCACCATGGGTGACTGCAGCCCTGGCCCTTCTGCGGAGCTCAGGGGCCTGGGGGAGGAGCAGGGGCTGGAGCAGCATGCAGCTGCGTAGGTGCCCCAAATTTCCTGGTGCCCTATGCCACTGCGTACTTTGTGTATGGGTAAGGATGGCCCTGCATTAGTTGGTACTTTAAAATGTTTTAATGAAACAAAGTCTAAAATTTTAAATTAGTTTTAGAAATAAACATGAAACTAATTATGGTTCCTAAGACTCATTTTTCTTCTGAAATGCAGGCATTTCTGTAGTAAATCAGTACTGATGTAGTCTGTTCTCATATTTTAGGGCCAGACAGTGAATGAAGCTGCTTGTGACATTGCAAAGGAAGTGGCTAAAGAAGGAGATGCTTTGGTAGCTGGAGGAGTCAGTCAGACACCATCATACCTGAGTGGCAAAGATGAAGCTGAGGTTAAAGCAATTTTTCGACAGCAGCTGGATGTCTTTGCCAAAAAAAATGTGGACTTCTTAATTGCAGAGGTAAATCCAACTGTAAAGAAACAAAGTGCCTTCAGTTGATGCAATTTACCAGCTGATCAAATTTCCTTAGAATTGAAGTCTCTAGTCAGTTTTTTGGGAATTCACATATATGTTGATGCCTCCTTTAAAATTTGCTACTGTGCTCTTATGCAAATAGTAGCAGATATATTTTTCCAAATACAATACTGGCAGACATTGCAGTGTAGAGTGCAACCGAGACCCTAACCCCAAATCTCTGTTCTGGTCTGTGCAGAAATGAAAGGGGAGGGTGATCCTTCTCTGGGGTGCTTTGTGCAGCCATTTACACAGAACAAATTGTACAAACATGATCTAAATCCCAGTAACGGAGGCGGAGGGTCTGATTCTATTAATCTTTACAGCAGTGTAAGCCAGGAATAACTACTGGAGTCAATAGTTATGCCAATGTAAATGAGGAGACTCAAGCCCTGAAATCTACCTGGGTGGGAGGGGTAGAGATTAAGGAGTGTGTAACACTTAGGCTGGGTCCTCATGCATAAGAAAATAGATTAGATTTACTTTCTTTCAGTATTTTGAACATGTTGAAGAAGCTGCATGGGCTGTTGAAACCTTAAAAGAATCTGGGAAGCCAGTCGCAGCTACCTTGTGCATTGGTCCAGAGGGAGACTTGCATGGTGTACCACCTGGAGAATGTGCTGTCCAACTGGTAAAGGCTGGTAAGAAATTTCCTCCTCCTCCATATAATCCGTAAAAAAAAAATATTTTTTTTAGGAGTACAGTAACATAACATTGTAATTATGTGCCTGAAAAATGCAACTTTAAGCGAATCTAATTTCCCCATAAGAATTAGTGTAAAGGGGAGGTTGGGGAGGGGGGGGTTTCCAAGGAAAAAATTTTCACCAGACAAAAGACTAGATATAAAAATAAAACTAGTCTTTTGTCCGGTGAAAATTTTTTCCCTGGAAAAGTAAGGGGGTGTGTGTGTGTACTTCTACTGTGGGGGGGACCATGCAGGATCTTAAGAGATTCTCTATCTCCTGTCCTGCCACTTGATTTTGCTCTGATTGGCTTGTGGTCGTACTGGTAGTGTAGAGGTTGAATGCTTTACTTCCAAAGCACTCTGGCTATGAATTTTAATTGCTATTACATCATTGCCCAGTTCCTGGAAAGCCATGTAACTGGAAAGTTGTCTTCTTCACAGGTGCTTCTATTATTGGAGTGAACTGCCATTTTGATCCAGAGACTTGCCTGAGAACTGTGAAGCTCATGAAAGAGGGCTTGGAGGCTGCTAAACTGAAAGCACATCTGATGTCTCAGCCTCTTGCTTTCCATACCCCTGACTGTGGGAAGCAGGGCTTTATTGATCTTCCAGAATTTCCTTTTGGTAAGACCTAGTCCATTTTTAAATTTTTTTTTTTTAAATTAGTGATGTTTAGTAAAGAAAAAGCTGCAGTGGTATCCGTGCATGCAGTGGCATCAATCCATACACTATTGTGCAGAATTTCAAATTAAGGAAAGTCAGAGCAGTTCATATTAACCAAAATGAATTTTAGAATTCTAGAACTGTTGGGCTGGAAGGGATCTCAAAGTCCTCAAATCCAGCGCCCTGTACTGAGGCAGGACCAAGTAATCCTAGACCATCCCTGGCAGACGTTTGTCCAACCTGTTCGTAACCTCCAATGATGAAGATTTCAGTTTCCTTTGGAAGCCTGTTTTAGAGCTTAACTGCCCTTTATAGTTAAAGTTTTTCCTAATGTCTAACCTAAATCTCCCTTGCTGCAGACTAACCCACTACTTTTGTCCTACTTCTAGTGGACATGGAGAACAATTGATCAGTCCTCTTTTTTTTTTTTCTTTTTTCTATTTATAACAGCCCTTAACTTATTTGACCTATCAAGTCTCTTTCCTCTCCCTCCCCCCCCCCGCCCACCTTCATTTTTAAGGTTTTCAAAATCTTTTCTCATTTTGCTGCTCTCCTCTGGACTCTCTCCAATTTGTCTACAGCCTTCCTAATCTGTGGTGCCCAGAATTGGACATACTACTCCAGTTGAGGCCGCACAAGTACTGAGTAGAGCGGGACAGTTACCTCCTGTGTCTTACATACAATATTTCTGTTAATACCCCCAAGAATATTAGCCTTTTTAGCCACTGCATCAAACTAACTCAAATTCAATTTGTGATCTACTATAACCCCCAGATCCTCTTTCACAGTACTGCCACCTAATCACTTATTCCCCAATTTATAGCTGCACATCTAATATTTTTCCTTCCTAAGAGAAATACTTTGCATTTATCTTTATTACATTTCATCTTCTTGAATTAAGACCAGTCTCTCCAATTTATCAAGGTCATCTTGAATTCTAATCCTGTCCTCCAAAGTGCTTGCAACCCCTCCCAGCTTAGTGTCATCTGCAAATTTTATAAACATACTCACTCAATTTATCAAAAATATTGAATAGTATCAGACGGAGGACTAACGCAATTGGAACCCATTAGATACATCCTCCCAGTTTGACAGCAAACCATTCGTAACAAGTCTTTGGGGACAGTTTTTCAACTTGTTGTGCACTCACCTTACAATAATCTCATCTAGACCACATTTCCCTAGTTTTCTTATGTCAAAAACCTTACCAAAATCAAGGTATCACATTGACTGCTTAACTCTATCCATTAGACCAGTAACTTTGTCAAAGAAGGAAATTGGGTAGGTTGTGAAAAAAACTATGCCAGATCTTGCTGGCTATTTTTCCTAACCCTCTTATTTTCTAGGTTATTACAAGTTGGTTGATAATTTATTCCAGTATCTTTCCAGGCATTGAAGTTAGACTACCTGATAGATATATAATGCCCTGGGTCCTCTTTGTTCCCCCTTTTAAAGATAGGTACTATGTTGGCCCTTCTCCAGGCCTCTGGGACCTCACCTGTCCTCCATGAATTCTCAAAGACCATCACTAATGGTTTCCAGATTGCTTCAGCTAGTTCCTAAAGGTTCCTAGGATGAATTTCATTAGGCCCTTCTGACTTGAATACATCTAACACGCCTAAGTAGACTTTAATCTATTCTTTCCTTATCTTGGCTTGCGTTCCTTCCTCTTTATTAATACTAATTGTGTTGAGTACCTGGTCACCTTTTTAGTGAAGGCTGAAGCAGAATAGACATTAAACACTTCAGCCTTCTTGATGTCCTCAGCTATTAGCTCTCCTTCACTGCTAAGTAAAGGGACCTGCACTTTCCTGTCTCTCCTGCTCCTAAAGTATTAAAAGGTAATATGAAGAGATTCTTTTATGTCACTTGCTAGGTGTAACTCCTTTTGTGCCTCAGTCTTTCTGATTTTGTATCTACATGCTTGTGCTATTCTTTTGTATTCCTCATTACTAATTTATGCATGTTTCCACTTTTTGTAGGATTCCTTCTTGATTTTTTTTCAGACCATTAAAAAGCTCCTTAATGGCTTTTAACTAGTCGTTTTTTTTTTCCCCCTTTGTATAGCGATCGTTTGCAGTTGTGCCGTTTTAATATTGTCTCCTTGAGAAACTGCCAGCTCTCCTGAACTCCTGTTTCCCTTAGAATTCTTCCCATGGAGCCTTACCTGTCTTCTGAGTTGACAGTCTTTTTTTTTTTTTTTTTGTTCATTGTCCTTATTCTGCTGCTCTCACTCCTTCCTTTTTTCTTAAAATCATTAAATCTAACATTTTCATGATTTTCATCCAATTTGCCTCCACCTTCAGATTCATTATCAATTCCTCCCTGTTGGACAGAATCAAGTCAAAAATAGCTGTGCACCAGCTACTTTCTCCACTTCATGAAACAAAAAGTTGTCCCCAGTACATTCCAATCATGTATTGGAAATTTTTGTGTGTTTTTTGCTGTATTACTTTCCCAACAGATGTCTGGATAGTTAGTTTCTCCCCTGCCTCCCCCATTACTACAACGTCTTGTGTTTTTTGGATATTTGATGTTTGTTCTAGAAATGCCTCATCCACCTTCTCTTCCTGATTTGGTGGCCTATGGCTGACCCTTATCATGATATCACCCCTAATTATTATTATTTTTTTTTTTTTACCCCCTTTGTATTTACCCAGAGTCTCTCAACTGGTCTGCCTCACACCTCCACCTGGATCTCAGAACAAGTGTATATATTCTTGATGTATAATGCAACACCTCGTCCCTTTTTATCCTGCCTGTCCTTCCTGAACAAGCTATGCCTCTCTCTGCCAATATCCCAGTCATGAGATTTATCCCACCAAGTCATAATTTATCTTGTGTACTAATGCTTCAATGTAGGCACTACTTACACCGACGGGTAGGGTTCTCACATCAGCATAGGTAATCCACCTCCCCAAGAGGCAGTAGCTAGATCTACATTGGTTCAATGCAGCACTTCTGATCCCCTGCAAGTAACTTACGGTTTGGGGAGAAGGGAAGCATAGCTGTCTTCTCTTCGACTCCAGGCAGCAGCAGAGGGAACAAAGGGTAGGATAGAGGCCATCTGCCACGTGGTAGGTGGAATTGAATGTCTATTGAGCCTGGTATGTGACAGAGCAGCTGGCCACATCTGCTGTTCCCTAGCTCACACTCAAAAAGCAGGTGAGAAGTGCAAGGGGCTATTGGTGTGTTTCACCCAGTTGCAGGTGAGTTTAAAATTATTGAAGTCTGTTTCCCCAGGCACAAAGTGGTTGGGTGATTTTTATTTTTTTTTTTCTGAAGTGCAGGCATTAACAATGGGTTTCTTAAAGCACTGAGATGCTATTACTCCACATACATAGAAGCGGAGTAGAGTTAAACACTCATACTATTTTAAGAGGTACTGGCATTTTTCAGTAAAGATCAATAAGAAATTAAATATGAATAAAGCCTGTATTTTAAGTGTGACCTCTGATTTACACTTAAATACCCACCTAGTAGCTGGCACTCGATTTAGGGCTTTGTCAGATTAGAATTTGGCAGGCTTTATCCCTCTGGAACAAGGAAACTTCTGGCAAGTATGCAACAGAGGAGCATTCCAACACCTAAAAGCTGAAATGTAATGAAATATTGTATCAGTAACGTCCAGACTGATTAACAGTGTTTAAATCTTTACTGCAATAGCCCAATTATGCCTGTGACATTGTACTTTGCACGTTTGCGAAATTAACTGTAGCTGAAAATGTAAAGCGATTTTACTAAATATCTGCTAAAACTAAATATTACAGTTAAAGCTGACACATATCATTGTAGCTCTGGAGCCAAGAATTCTCACGAGATGGGATGTGCAAAAATATGCAAGAGAGGCCTATAACTTAGGGATTCGATACATTGGAGGCTGCTGTGGATTTGAGCCTTATCACATCAGAGCAATAGCTGAGGAGCTGGCCACTGAAAGAGGATTTTTGCCACCGGCTTCTGAGAAACATGGTAGCTGGGGTAATAACTTGAGCATGCATACCAAACCCTGGGTCAGAGCAAGGTATGTATAATAACTATAGTACTTCGCTTAAATGGCACATTAAATATGCTCCCTTCAGGTGGCTTTAGCAGTCTTTCTTCTTGGGCAGACTGGCCATGGAGAGGAGGAGAAGTCCCATTTGCCTTCCTTCCCACCCTTAAATAGGATTTACATAAGGTGGGAATCCTTTGTTTCCCAAACGTGACCCACCCCCTTTCCCTTCCAGTGGAAAGTTACAAGAAGTCCCAGATACTGTTTAGTATCAGGTGACAAGACCACCTGACTCAGTAGTATCACAGCATCCATGAGTCAGTGGCAGTATGGAGCGTCTGCGGGAAGGCCAAGTCTTTTCACAGTCCATTGTCCTTGCTGATGGACTATCCCCCTTGTCTGGCTTTTCAATTGTTGTACCTGAAATGTTAGCAGTGGGAGTCCCGTCCCCCCCCCCCCCCATAGTAGCACAGTTGAAATACAGATACATAGTCAATATTCCTAACTTCAGATACAGAAATAATACAGGCATACACATTGGATAATCACATTCAGTAAATTGAAAAGGAGTACTTGTAGTACCTTAGACTAACAAATTTATTTGAGCATAAGCTTTCATGAGCTTTGTTTAGCTTCTAAGGTGCCACAAGTACTCCTTTTCTTTTGCGGATACAGACTAACATGGCTGCTACTCTGAAACCTGTCATTTCAGTAAATTATAACCTTTCCAATTATATCTTAAAAGACCCATCTTCCATAAAGTACATCTCAGTTATGTCATATTATAAGCATATTTTCATAAAGAATATGGTGTGAAATGTCACAAATGCCTTATAGCATGTTAAAGCAATTAAATTCTTACACTTTAATTTGTTTGCCCAATGGGTCTTCTCAGACTACTTTGAGGATTGGTCTTGACATTTGTGCCCACCCCCACCCATTTGTGCCCACCTTGACATTTGTGCCCACATTTGTTGTTGGTTAATACAATTCAGTGCATCTGTATTGGTTTGGGGAACATATAACTAGAGGCCCCTTAAAATGAAAGAATTGTAATGTTTTGGTTTGGATTAACATGCAAGTTATTCATAGCAACTTCTAAGATATAGAATTAATATAGACTACCATGCTAATACCTATTTGGTAAGTGGCTTAAAATGTTGCTTTAAAAGAATAGAAAACACTTCTTTTAACACCGCCAATCTTCATAAATTTCTTCCTGTATCCAGACCTCACATTGAGCTAAAACTTATGCAAATGAATTAAATCCACTGACCATTTTGATCTAGTTGTTAAAATATTTTAGACTGTTATAACATTTCCTCAGCCTCATTCATTAAAAATATTAAACATTTTTCTTTCTTTAGGGCAAGAAAAGAGTACTGGGAGAATCTGTTGCCTGCTTCAGGCAGGCCATACTGTCCTTCAATGTCAAAACCAGATAACTGGGGAGTGACTAAAGGCGCTGCAGAGCTGATGCAGCAGAAAGAAGCAACAACTGAACAACAGCTGAAGGAGCTCTTTAAGAAACAGACGTTCAAATCCAATATAGTAGCTTAAGTATGAGCCTGAAATATGTATGGAGAATTTCCAAATGTGCTTGCATCACATGAAATAACTTGTGAAGACAAATGTCCATGTATCCATTTACATGTAATGGAAGAAGCTAAATGCAGACAGAATTTGATTGCAAATGAGATCAAATCTTAATAAAACACATTTCTATAAGACTGTTAGTGCTTATTCCTTCACCCACTTACTTCCCTCGTCATTCTCACATGAACAGAGAGCAACAATACCTGAAGACCAAAGGTGCAAACTATTAAATGTTTATTGGAGTGAACTTCCAGCAAGCAATGATTCAAATTTTCTTCCTCAGTGTCCCCCTTCCCAGCTCTAATGCCACAGAGCCTTGCCTGTGTCCCTGTCCCATTCCCCCCTGCTTAGCAAAACACAATTCCAATTCCACACCTGCATTTCCTGTTCCCATTCCCCCCCCCTTACTTCCTGATTGACTACAGACTATATAGTAAAATTTGAGTTCTGCTTAGCCATACCTTAACCCAGTCTTAACCTATTGTAACACGATTATCTAACCAATTATCCCACCACCTTAATTGTTTCTGTCTGCTGTATAATTAATTTTGTTGGGTGTAAACCAATCACAACCAGACAGATTATACAGACAAACAATGGGGATTATAGTGATAGAACAACAAAGAAATAAGGATTTCATGCCCTAGCTATTGATAAGTGAGTTCTTGCCAGACAGGATGCCATCAAACTAAGTTTTCTTTAAATCTTGTAGGCTCTTCCCTTTCTCTAGAGGCGATAGATTGGATCATCTTTTTAACTGCCCGAAACTATCTTATTTCAGTGTGACTAGTTTGGAATGTAAGGATGTGACCATTTGCTTCCCAGTTTATGGCTGCCTCTGCTGCTTAGCTAAAGGCCTTAGCCTAAGAACAGGGCCTCAGACTGTCACAGTGAGAAAGGGTCCTACACAGGCAGACAGTGATTCTGATTCTTTAGAAATTCATTTAACAGAAGGTAGGGAAGGCTGATGTATTAATAATTAAGCTACCATTAGGGTTTGTTTAGTGCTGTTATTTGGTAACATGATGGTTTGAAAGGAGTACAGTGCTAATTAAATGTTCAGAGAACAAAAATTATAAGTAAATTTTTTTTACTCCAGTTTCCAAAATAAAAATGTCAAAGTGCAATAGACAGAAGTAGTAATGGTATTAACCCAGCATGCCTAAAACCATATGAACTAAGAGCTTTTAAAAAAAAATTACTATGAAGGGATAATATACCTCCAGTAAACCATGATCCAGAATTACCTCCAGCTTGGTGGCACTCAAACTGAAGCTCCCCCTAGTAGATGACACTTCTGAAAATTGTCCTGTGTTTGGAGGGAGTAAAACACCTCCATGGAAAGTTTTCACAATGTGACTCTCTCAAGTAGAGACACCCCCCCCCCAATAGAGAACTCAAGGGGCAGGAAAATTGGATAAACCTAGTTAGAAATTGGGTTCTGTAGTCCTCCAAAAAATTAAATCAGATTTCTGTCTGGATTCCAAATCCAAGCAGTATGGTTTTGGAAATGTGGGAGGAGCCTGTACAGCTGCTTTGAAACCCTCTATACCAAAACAAATGAGGTTGAAGCCAAAGCCTCTCCTCTGAATGAAATATGCCTTTAAATAACCTTTGAGCAACAGGCCCAGCAGATCATAGAAGGGAGAGTGGCAATCAGAGAGCTATTTAGAAATGGACTTCTTGGTCATGTAGCAAAGCTCTATGAGTTAATGTCAGAAGAAACAAAGCTCTGTGGAAACTTTAGACCATTCCAGATTTTTTTAAAAAAAAAAAAAAAAAAAAACCCAGGACATTTTGATATTGAACTAGGGGAGAAGGGGCTCGTAGGGATGAGTGCATGCAAGCCCAGGAGAAATGTTGGCAAGATGATTGGCTCATTATGACAAAGTTCATCATCACCTTCAAAAATAATTTCGGATGCAGCCCTAGCACCAACTTATCCTTGTAAAACATGGTGACAGTTGAATGAGTCACTACAGCCTCATTAAGTGCATTCTGCAAACAATCGCTACCACCAGGAAAACAGCACTTCACAAATGACACCTGAGTTTCCATGGAATGAGTAGTCCAAAAGAAGCTTTTCATCACATTAGTCACAATCATATTACTAGACTACAACTCAGAGTACCTTTTTAGTAGAGAATTTCAGGTACTGCTTTGAGCACCACATACACCTGGCAATAAGAGTCTGCAGAGAAACTGGTTTCCCTTCAGCATGTTTTTCAATAGGTTGAATCATAGAATCATAGAATATAAGGGTTGGAAGGGACCCCAGAAGGTCATCTAGTCCAACCCCCTGCTCGAAGCAGGACCAATTCCCAGTTAAATCATCCCAGCCAGGGCTTTGTCAAGCCTGACCTTAAAAACCTCTAAGGAAGGAGATTCTACCACCTCCCTAGGTAACGCATTCCAGTGTTTCACCACCCTCTTAGTGAAAAAGTTTTTCCTAATATCCAATCTAAACCTCCCCCACTGCAGCTTGAGACCATTACTCCTCGTTCTGTCATCTGATACCATTGAGAACAGTCTAGAGCCATCCTCTTTGGAACCCCCTTTCAGGTAGTTGAAAGCAGCTATCAAATCCCCCCTCATTCTTCTCTTCTGCAGGCTAAACAATCCCAGCTCCCTCAGCCTCTCCTCATAACTCATGTGTTCCAGACCCCTAATCATTTTTGTTGCCCTTCGCTGGACTCTCTCCAATTTATCCACATCCTCCTTGAAGTGTGGGGCCCAAAACTGGACACAGTACTCCAGATGAGGCCTCACCAATGTTGAATAGAGGGGAACGATCACGTCCCTCGATCTGCTCGCTATGCCCCTACTTATAGATCCCAAAATGCCATTGGCCTTCTTGGCAACAAGGGCACATTGCTGACTCATATCCAGCTTCTCGTCCACTGTCACCCCTAGGTCCTTTTCCGCAGAACTGCTGCCTAGCCATTCGGTCCCTAGTCTGTAGCTGTGCATTGGGTTCTTCCGTCCTAAGTGCAGGAGCCTGCACTTATCCTTATTGAACCTCATCAGATTTCTTTTGGCCCAATCCTCCAATTTGTCTAGGTCCTTCTGTATCCTATCCCTCCCCTCCAGCGTATCTACCACTCCTCCCAGTTTAGTATCATCCGCAAATTTGCTGAGAGTGCAATCCACACCATCCTCCAGATCATTTATGAAGATATTGAACAAAACCGGCCCCAGGACCGACCCTTGGGGCACTCCACTTGATACCGGCTGCCAACTAGACATGGAGCCATTGATCACTACCCGTTGAGCCCGACAATCTAGCCAGCTTTCTACCCACCTTGTAGTGCATTCATCCAGCCCATACTTCCTTAACTTGCTGACAAGAATACTGTGGGAGACCGTGTCAAAAGCTTTGCTAAAGTCAAGAAACAATACATCCACTGCTTTCCCTTCATCCACAGAACCAGTAATCTCATCATAGAAGGCGATTAGATTAGTCAGGCATGACCTTCCCTTGGTGAATCCATGCTGGCTGTTCCTGATCACTTTCCTCTCATGCAAGTGCTTCAGGATTGATTCTTTGAGGACCTGCTCCATGATTTTTCCAGGGACTGAAGTGAGGCTGACTGGCCTGTAGTTCCCAGGATCCTCCTTCTTCCCTTTTTTAAAGATTGGCACTACATTAGCCTTTTTCCAGTCATCCGGGACTTCCCCGGTTCGCCACGAGTTTTCAAAGATAATGGCCAATGGCTCTGCAATCACAGCCGCCAGTTCCTTCAGCACTCTCGGATGCAACTCGTCCGGCCCCATGGACTTGTGCATGTCCAGCTTTTCTAAATAGTCCCTAACCACCTCTATCTCCACAGAGGGCTGTCCATCTCTTCCCCATTTTGTGATGCCCAGCGTAGCAGTCTGGGAGCTGACCTTGTTAGTGAAAACAGAGGCAAAAAAAGCATTGAGTACATTAGCTTTTTCCACATCCTCTGTCACTAGTTTGCCTCCCTCATTCAGTAAGGGGCCCACACATTCCTTGGCTTTCTTCTTGTTGCCAACATACCTGAAGAAACCCTTCTTGTTACTCTTGACATCTCTGGCTAGCTGCAGCTCCAGGTGCAATTTGGCCCTCCTGATAACATTCCTACATGCCCGAGCAATATTTTTATACTCTTCCCTGGTCATATGTCCAACCTTCCACTTCTTGTAAGCTTCTTTTTTATGTTTAAGATCCGCTAAGATTTCACCATTAAGCCAAGCTGGTCGCCTGCCATATTTACTATTCTTTCGACTCATTGGGATGGTTTGTCCCTGTAACCTCAACAGGGATTCCTTGAAATACAGCCAGCTCTCCTGGACTCCTTTCCCCTTCAAGTTAGTCCCCCAGGGGATCCTGGCCATCCGTTCCCTGAGGGAGTCGAAGTCTGCTTTCCTGAAGTCCAGGGTCCGTATCGTGCTGCTTACCTTTCTTCCCTGTGTCAGGATCCTGAACTCAACCAACTCATGGTCACTGCCTCCCAGATTCCCATCCACTTTTGCTTCCCCCACTAATTCTACCCGGTTTGTGAGCAGCAGGTCAAGAAAAGCGCCCCCCTAGTTGGCTCCTCTAGCACTTGCGCCAGGAAATTGTCCCCTACGCTTTCCAAAAACTTCCTGGATTGTCTATGCACCGCTGTATTGCTCTCCCAGCAGATATCAGGAAAATTAAAGTCACCCATGAGAATCAGGGCATGCGATCCAGTAGCTTCCGTGAGCTGCCGGAAGAAAGCCTCATCTACCTCATCCCCCTGGTCCGGTGGTCTATAGCAGACTCCCACCACTACATCACTCTTGTTGCACACACTTCTAAACTTAATCCAGAGACACTCAGGTTTTTCTGCAGTTTCGTACCGGAGCTCTGAGCAGTCATACTGCTCCCTTACATACAGTGCTACTCCCCCACCTTTTCTGCCCTGCCTGTCCTTCCTGAACAGTTTATAACCATCCATGACAGTACTCCAGTCATGTGAGTTATCCCACCAAGTCTCTGTTATTCCGATCACGTCATAGTTCTTTGACATCACCAGGACCTCCAGTTCTCCCTGCTTGTTTCCAAGGCTTTGTGCATTTGTATATAAGCACTTGAGATAACCTGTTGATCGCCCCTCATTCCCAGTATGAGGCAGGAGCCCTCC